CTTTATCTCCTGCCCTGCATTTTACAACCAACATTTGCTGCACTGATTGATAGAGAACACACAGGTTTATTAAAGAGTGTGTCCTGAAATCTGTAATCCTCAAATTAAGACTGTAAAGGTGATCAGCAGAACAATAATCACTTTGAATTAATATTTGCTGCTAGTCCTACCACTTCAGGAACTCATCTTGTCTAGTGACAAACCACAATCAGGAGGACATCAACTTCCCAGCTGAGCAAGATTCTGGTAAAATAAAGTTTTTTTTTTCTGGATTACTCTTTGCTTTCTGCATCTATAACAATCAAGAATCCTGACTAGTTTACCTTAAAAGTGACCTTGGAGGCTTCCGCTTAAAAAAAACTTAAACAATGAAGCAATAAAAAATAAAAAAGCCATAAGAAATCTTAAAGCTGACTTTAACATGGAAGGTCTCCACCTAATTACTTTATTTAACAAATAATGTATACATATTTATATGGGCAATTACTAGTTTACAGGAGATTAGCATCTGGTCATTAGCAGATATTATTGCTGTGTTCCAGGTCCAATATAGATAATGCTTGAACAGGTGAATGAATGTGACTTTAGTTTGCCTCAGCTTGTGACACCACACCGGCTGTGCAGGCAGACTTTATCTACCAATATATTTGGACAGCTGAACCATTTGGTTAGATAAGCAAACAGCTACATTACAACCTCAGTTAACTTGGGAAATTGGCCTCAAACTAAGTCGAAGTTGGAAAGTCAGTTCCCCTGCACTTTGAAGCTGTTCCACTTTATATGCGCTGATATTCAGGTAAATTGAAAAATGTAGCACTGCATAATTTCCGTAATGATGAATTTACTTTAAACTACAGAGGTTTGTGTCGCTTGAAACTTTGCCAGACGGCCCTATTAATTTGTTGTTGCAGTCTGCACAAAGATTGATACAGAAGTCATTTATTTCCAGCAAACACTCGTTAGCTTGCAATAATGAGCATTTAGGCTCAAGTTAGGCTGTGATCAGAAAGCAGCACCTTCAAACAAGTGACTTATCTTCCAGGCAGCCCATACAACGCAATGTGCTCTTAATTTGAAGGAAGAATTTGACACGTTTTTTCTTAATTTAAATCACATCAAGGTTCAAGTAGGGAGCTGTGTCTGCATGCGTAGGCTGCAAAGAAACAGGTGAAGGTGTATTCCATCTGGAGTATTCCAGCTACTATCCTAAAGAAGGCTCCAGAGCTGAAACGATCCCTTTTCTTTCCAGCATGGACTTGAC